TCACTGGCAGAGAGAAATGCCCAGGGAGAGCTCGTTGACTTTAGTCTGACCGGTAGGGTTCACCTCAGCTTTCTCTGACACCAGCTGCTCCTCTGCTTTTCAGTAAGAAGCATGGTCCTTGACAGCTTCACCCCACCCACTTAAATACACCTCCTCACAAGGGAATAAAATAAAACTTCCTTTTAATCTGGTATTTATTTGGATTTTCCCAACACTCATTAAAGTGCTTTCCCAGGAGAATCTGTGGAAGAGATCCCGTTCCACTCCACCTCCAAAACACCAACTTTAAATGTGAATGCTCCCCCCCTTTCTGAAAGCTTCTATTTTAGAACCCAAGAAAACACCCAGTTCAAACTCAACAGTCTTTCAGTGGAGAACACTGTCGTGAAATGAAAGGTCACTTGGCTCATTTCTGCTTATCGGTGTCAGAACCAGCACCCAAGACCCAGCTTAACTGCCACCTTCTCTGTAAAGCCTTCCCCGTTCCCAACCACTCCCTTCTGAACTCACATGTTTTTTTTTGTACCCGCCTCTATCATAATTCTTCTGTCACAGCACTTACCTTGTTTTATATTTTTCATTTGTTACATCTATTTTTCCACTTCACTTTGAATTCCTTAAAAGAAAGGATGGAATCTTATTTCTTTTTGAATACCTCCCTAAACTTACTACTGAATAGCCACTCAAACACTGTCTGAGTTATAAATTCATGAATGACCAGAGCTTTACTATACCACTTTCCCCGTAACCGTTCATTTTTCCTGTTTACAAAAGGAAGTCTGCACCGATGTGTCTCTCAAGATAATTGTGTAGTTACGTATGACTGCCAAGAGCCTCAACCATAAAAATGCTTTATAAATGCCAACCATGATTACAACCCTTTGAAACAATGGGGCATATGATTTACAAGTGGAAAAAGATGAGACACAGCAAGTAATGTTTCTTGCCTGCTCCCCATTTCTATCTCCACCCACCATCAGATAGCAATTCAGGGGTAAAACATCAACTGGGAAGGGGAAGGCGAGTTTAACTAGAGTCTAGAGAGGATTTCCAGGGGCTATGCCATCACTCTGCCGTCAAGAAGGAAGGCGTCTAAATCTGACAAGAGGGGCCAAAGGAAAGAGTCCCAGATAGACGGATGACATCCAATTCACTGGTGAAGTGGAGACTCAGATGAAGAAAGCAGGGGTCAGTCTTTCCAGAGCGGGTGACCTAGAAGGACTGTTAAGGTGGAAAGGTTGTCAAACTACACTCTATCCTCGACCTCTTCTGTGGTGGCCTACCAAGGAAAGGGAGGGCAAGATTTGTCTTGTTCATCTTTTATCCCTCTCTCCCCCTAGATGTATCATATAAAGTGGCCAGAAAAGGTGTGTTGTACATTGAAAGAACAGAGCATTCAGATTTTCCTCCCTAGCAACGTGTCAGGAAAAGAGAGGGCAGGATCATTTTGTTTGGTTATTTTTCTTGTGGGCCCTTAACAAGATCTTTGAAGGCAGAGGTGATTTTTCACATGGCTGATGCCATCCATTGTAGAGCAAGCCAAGATCGATGATCAGATTGTTCCAGACTTGATGTCATTCTGGCCTCAGAGGTCAAAGGCGGGCACAGAAAACATCGTGATGCACCTGGGGGAGGTGAACAGGGGGGAGCTCTGACAGCATGAGTCTGCAGGTCCAACCCAGCGGTGAGCTCAAAGAGTGGTTGACGTTACCTGTCTCAATGTGTCTGAAGAAATCAATCAGGTCCCAAACAAAACGGGCCCTTACGTCTCACGCTGGAAACACCAAATTATCCGGGAGTATAGGATTTGTGGGTGGGCTGTGGGACTAGGTGAGGAGGTCACATCACAGGCTTCCTGGCAGGAGGTGGAGAGGGATTGTAACCCTGGGCCCAGTCTAACTTGTGGTTTGGACTTTTTTTCCAGATGGCTCCTGTTTCTCTGAAGAGTTCTGGATGTGGGAACAATTCAGCTTTTTCCCACTTCTCAGCCATACCATCGTCAGTCACCTCAGAATGTTTAATTCTTTGGCAGACGGAACTGGTGAGGTGGCCCCCATTACCGCCTTTCTTGACGTCAGTGAGGGAGTTGTTCCCTGTGGCTGTCTTATGTGAAATAATTCAGCATTTGTACTTCAATTAAATTCATAGGTATATATTATTAAATGGTACTGACTCATTCCATGGCTTCTCTTCAGCTGAGTAAGTGCCAAAAATTGCTAAGTGCACAGTGGTGATGAAGACTGCATTAAAACTAAAATTTCCTTGTCAAACAATTTACATTTAGTGCTCTGAAGAAAGTACCTCGCACACCCAAGAATATCACTCTACCCTGTGTCAGTGTTTTCTCAGGAAGAAATTTAGGTTCAAGACTCATTCTGCCTTGGAGGGAGAGGACAACGACACCTGACTAGAATCCTCTTCCCTTTTGTGAGCGTCATGAAAGGAGTCCGTGGCACACAGTATTTGCTCCAAAATGGGGCTTGTCTAATTGAATGATGCAACCCATAGTCAATATATCTCAGAGGAGAGAAGGGGAAATACACCTTCATACATGACTCAGCAGAAAAATAGGAGAAAATGTTTAGATTTCGTAAAAATCTAGGTTTTCTTTGCATTAATGTATTATTTTATATTTAATATGCCTGGAAGCATGGCCGAGGGAGCAAACCACTTTGGTGCTTTTTTTCTCCCCTCCTGTTCAAAAGACTGTGCTTTCCACCTCAGACATGGACACTCCAAGCTCAGTGACCGTAGGCTGTCACCTCCCTTCACTGCTCTCCATTTCCTCTTCTGCAAAATGGGTATCATAATCCATGCCCAGAATACCTCCTGGGGTTCCTAGCCTGTGAACATGCTCTGTGTTGTAAGCATGCAATGCAATAATACAGGTGAAAATAAAAGCTTTGTAAAACTGCAGGCTTTTAACACAAGGGCGGGATAGGCATCGAGACAAGTGGCATAGATGAGGAGTCTCAGACTTGAAGTTATAAACATTGGGCTTTTTATCCCAGGCTGCCTCACACACATCACTTTTGAGTGAATTAGAAAAAGGCACCCCTTGTAGACAGACGAAGCCGTGCAGATGCATAGATTGGTGAGCAAGCACCATCTTTGGCCAAATAGAAAAAGGCGCTGCTTCCTCTAGTGGATGGTGCCCCGTGCCAGGATTCCAGCGCCCACGTACCCCGGCCAGGTGTTCTCGCAGAACTGAGTCCAGCAGCCCCGGCTCTGCCTGCTCAAATCCCGTAATCATGGAATCCTCTTTCCTATCTCTGAGCTTCAGTTTCCTCCCAGAAGGATGGAACTGATTTGTGATTAATTCTTCAGAATTGATCCTTCAACTCAAAAACTCTAAACTTCAACACTAAAAGAGACTCCTTCAGTTCTAAAACCTACAAAAATTCGATTGGGCTTCTCTAACCTTCCATACAAGGGACCATATAGCACAGAGACTGCAATTTCTGAGCTCCACTTTTTTGAAAGTCATCTGATGACACTTCCTAACTATTTAAATGAAATTAGGTAAGGTTTGATGTGGAGCAGATTACAAAATAAATGCTTTAGCATATACATGATGTCTCAGGTATAAAGCAACACGGACAACCTGCAAAACGGGAATAACTACTCCATGTTGTCAGCAACGGCACCAGATGTGGATTTAACACCATGATATCTATGAGGCCTCCACTCACTTTCCATGGGGCTGGACATCAGAATCAGGGCTGAGGTCCCTGCCTCTCCCCAAGTGCCCACAGCACCCAGGAAGCGGGAGCTGCAAGGAGCCAAAGACTGGTTTCCTTGTTGATGCCTGTTGCCAGAAAACAGAAATCAGATCCTTGCCCAGATCCTTCTATCAGCAAATCTGAGTGCCAGCAACCACTTCTCGGTGAGACAGCAAACAAATAGGAAGCGATCTTTGCAAAGCTCAGGAACTTTCAGCCCTAAAATTAAATTAGGTTTAAAATTTTAAAATCACATGTACACACAATGAACCCATTCACAATTCTCAAAATGTTAATAGAAGTAAATTTGGTTGTATTTGTGAATATTTTTTTAAATCAGTTTTTTTATTTTTTATTTTTGTGAGGAAGATTCGTCCTGAGCTAACTTTCATTGCCAATCCTCTTCTTTTTTTTTTCTTTTGCTTGAGGAAGATTAGCCCTGAGCTAACATCTGTGCCAATCTTACTCTATTTTGTATGTGGATGACACCACAGCATGACAGATGAGTGGAGTAAGCCCGCACCCAGGATCCAAACCTGTGAACCGGAACGCGCAGAACTTCAACCACTGGGCCATGGGGCCGGTCCCCTGTTTTTGTTTTTTATTTGCTTTATTTTGTATTTAGAGTAAAAGGGAGGGCTTTTGGAAATAGGTACAACTAATTATGTCGTTTTCAGAGGAAACCAAAGCCCAGAGAGGGAAAGATATTAGCTCCAGGTCACACAGCAGGGCTGGGATTATAATGCAATGTTCTTTCCACTCCCCCATGATGAAAATGCAACTGGAAGCAGATGGCACATAAATCACTATGACTCAATTTTTCAGTCTCAAAGGATGAATGTTTTTACCACTAAGCAATACCATAAGGGGCAGAAAGTAAATGTGACTTTTAGAAAATGTTTTAATTTGCTGGTTTTCTTAGGGGCTGCTACCTCTACCACTGCCCATCCCAGAGGCAGGTGAGCCCAATGGTTAGTGGAGTAGACTTCCCTAGGCTAGAACCGCACCAGCCCATCCCAAACAATGTCTTTGAAATGTCTTCCTTAGAATCGGCACCAGGGACCAGATGTTCCCTGGTTTAACACCTCTGTTTCCTAACCATTTCTATTTCTTCAAAAGCAATTCTACCACCTTCTTGATGGCCTTCGAGCACCTTTCAGCAAGACTAGTCATGGCCCAACATTGCCCCTGGGCTGTCCCAAAAGCTCCTGTGGGACTACAAAACCATTACCTGAAGATAAACCAAACATTTGAGAGAAGAAAAATAAATGCCAGATATTAAAATAAGGCTCCCTTTATTTAAAATCAGACACAAGCAAGAATCCGTGTGCTGGACAGCCGCAAAGAGGAGAGGCCACCAAAATATATGCAGATGAAGACTGGAATCAATCAGAAATCCATTCTTCTTACTTAAGAACAAAGCGCCCCTTCTCACCAGTGGACCCCACTCTCAGGCACGGGGGCAATGGCGCCCTGGTCCAGGAGGGATTAAAGACTTCCTTCCAAAGGCATTGGGGTGAAGAGCCTTTCTTCTTCCACCCCATACAACTGTTTTAAAGACACAACTCATAGGGCAGTCCTTTCTGGAGCACTGCGGAGAGTGAATTGAAGCTTCCAGTGTAAGTTTGTTCTCTGGTGAAAATACCAGAGCCAAAGACTCCACCAAGGCCCTGGAAGGCTGGGGCCCTCCATCTCATGCAGAACTCCTCCGAGCAGTTCCTTCTCAGAGGCTGGGGAACTCTCAGGCCAGTGATCCGTGAGGCAGTGTGGACCCCGCCAAGGGATCCTCAGATTCAAACTCATGGCTGTCAGCACTGTGAGAGGATGTGCTGGAAGGCACAGAGCCAGAAAGGCCTTCTGAGTCCAAGTCACATGCTAACTTTAGAACTGGAGCACGCATGAGAGCTGTAGTTTTGCCAAGAACGGGCTTATTCTTTCTGCTGGAGCTTTTGGATCTGCAGCAAATGAATTGTGTGTGTGTGTGTCTGTGTGTGTGTGTGTGCATGTGTGTGTGTGTGTGTGGTGGGCAGTGGGTGCCTAGACTTTGAGAGATGAAGTGATGAAAAATCAAGACCGACAGACTGAGAGAGGCAAAGCAAGCATCCTTAGGAAGAGAAGGGAGATCTGTGACTCATATTAACCTGTTAATTTATACTATGGCTCTGTACAAAAATAAAAAGGTTCTCATAAGATTAACAATTTAAATAAATATCTCATAGAACATTCTTTCTCATTTTTATAGCTCATCTTTGGGGTTGATACTCAGTTCATGCTTCCCTTGCTGTTCTTGATCCAGGATTGCGATCACTTCATCGGCCTGTATCCGCTCCTGCAAAAAAGACAATTTACACATGTCTGTCACAAGCATAATAATCAGCCCCAGCGGCAGATGCTTCCCAAACACTTCCAGGTATCCAAATGTTCGTGGATTGGTGTGAAATCCAGTTAAGGATTGAACCTCATCTTCATCCCTACACAGTGCCTTCTCCTGACCTCCCTATGTCCGAAGCAAGTACTTTCCAAGATTTCTCTCTTGTGAAAAAGTCTTGTATATTCAACTGCACTACCCTTTCTACTTTGTGGTCTCATAGACATCTCCCACTCAGTTCTCCAATTCAGTGTTCAAGCTGAATTCACCATATTCTCCCTGACAAACATGCTCTGTTCCCCTTCACAAATTTGCTCTCTCAGTAGGGACTGACACTGCTCACGCATTTGCCCTAAAAGCCTAACCATGGTTTCCTGCATCTGATAAATCACCTAGTCCTCTCTGTGCTATCTCCTGTTTTTGCCCCTTTCTCTTCAGTGCACATTACTGTTGACTTCATTAGGCCACTGTTTCTCAACCTTTGCACTAGTGACATTTTACACCAGACATTCCTTGTTTTGGGGTCTGTCCTGTGCATTGTAGGATGTTCAGCAGCATCCCAGGCCTCTACCTACCACAGGCAGCCTCCCCTCAAGTGGCGACAGCTAAAAATGTCTCCACACATTGCCAAATGTGCCCTTGGAGGCAACAGTGCTCTTGCTTCAGAACCACTGGTTTAGGCTCACGGATCTCTTAACTTGATTGCGGCAACAACTTCAAATTGGTCTGCCTGTGTCACACTCCATTCCCACAGGCTTCTGAGGGACCCTTTGCACCTGAATCGTGATCACATCACCTTCCTGCTGACTGCTCACAACGCTTGCATGGGTTCCTATTGCTTGAAGTTCCAGGTCTGATCTTCTGGGTATGCTTACAAGGAATTGTCTGATTTAGACCTTTCTCTCTTCTTGAGCTTACCTGGTCTTCTCTCACCTCAGCTTACACGGCAGCTTCCTACTCCCCTCAAAGTCTCTGAATACAGCACTCTCAGAAGAATTCCCCAGTCCTAGCTGAACGTCCCTCTGGAGGCTTCCATATCCTACGCTTTCTCTCGCCTGCTACGTCACTCCATCAGCAGTTCCAGCTGGTCTGCCTCCAAATGGCATCTCAAACCTTCCACGTTTTTTCACCTCTTTTACTACTCTAGTCTACAACATGTTAGCTAAAGCCATCTTTCATATCTTGTAATTCCCCAGGACTGGGGGACATTGGGGGAAGGCACATGGCTTCCCACCACAGTTAGCATAGAATTCATATTTCTTAACCAGCTATCAAGTCTGACCCCTACCTCCTCTGTGTGCTCTTTTCAGACCACTCTCCATCTTGCATACCATGTTCCAGCCGCTCTGGCTCTCTTTGTTTCTTGAGCGCTCCAAGCTGCATCTTCTCTCTGGGCCTTTGCAGCCTGTTCTCAGCCTGGAATACCCTTCCCAAGGCCTTTATCACAGCTAGCTTCTTCTTGTCACTCCAGTGGCAACTCACTTGTCACTTGTCCAGAGAACCCTGACAGTTTGCCAGCCCCACTCCTTTATTCTCAAACTGGTTACCTTGTTTCCTTTGCCACACATCACTGATTACTATCTGAAAATTTCCAGTTATTTATCTTCTTACTTATTTGTTGTCTTTCTTCGTCCCCTAGAGGAAAGCTCCATAAAAGCAAGGAATCTTGTCTTTTTTGGTCACTGCTGTATTTCCAGTGACCAGAAAAGCATTTGACATTTGGCAAGAGCTGCATTGTATTTGATGAATAAATGCATAAATGGATGAAGGGTTCTCTCTGTCTAAAATGTCTCTATAGAAATCCTACTCATCCTTTAAGGCTCATGTCAACTGCCATTTTCTCAGTAAAGCCTTTCCTGGTTCCTTCTTTATATCCCTTGAACATTGTACATTTGCCCCTTGTAATTCTTACCAAATTTTGCCTTGTGTTTTAATTACTCAGATCTCTTACTATCTCTCCACTTTGACTTCAAACTCCTTAAAAATAGGGATTATGTCTTACCTGGTTTGTATTCCCTACAGGTAGTCAGTCCCTAGCACAATAAGTTATAAAAATAACTACGTACTTTATGACTTGAAAACAAAGCCCCCTTCATTCAAGAGCTTGTAATTGAAAATGATGTCAACATAAGGCAACCGAAAGAACCAAATATACTAAATTGCTGTCATGATGTCTAAATAAAATTCCCAAGTCCTACTTTATGAATATGAGGAGAACAACTTGCTGCTTAACAAAATACGTATAAAACTTTCAGATCTGACTGCCACAAGAGACTATTGCGACCACATCTCTTCTGAATGGAAGAAGTTCAAGAGCTGGAATTCTGTCTACAAGGAATTGAGGCTTCTAATATGGTGCATAATTAAGAGTTTACAGTGCTAAATACTCCTTGAGAATTGAGAATTGCCCTATAACAAGGGCAGAAATCTGCCAGGTCTAATGACTTCTACATAGGCTGAGGGATTCAATCTGATAAAAGGTGCCTAAAACAGGGACTCCTAAACTTTGCTGCATATTAGAATCACCTGGGAGCTTTTAAAATTTCTGATTCCAAAACACATCCGGTATCAGTTAAACCAGAATTTCTGAAGGTGGGAACGAGATATCAGTAGTCTGTAAAGACCCCTATGTGATTCCAGTGTCTAGCAAGGTCTGAGAATCACAGTGTAGAATAGATTTCGTAGTACTTGCTGAAGAGGCTCTGGTCATTTTCGTCTGTGGCCACTAGATGCCGCTACTGCCTGGAGACTGGAGAAGTTTCCTAAAACTTTCCCTTCAGAGGAGGGATATTAGCATTGATGTTTCTTGGTTAGAAAGCAGCAAAGAGAACTTACCTTGTGTTAGTGTATTTTGGTAGAAAATATCTTGGAAGAGAGGACTGGGATACTGAATAATGAAATAGATTAACTGTTTGCGGAATTGAACACTAAAGAGAGAAAATGGTGAAGCAATTTTTCAACAGCCTGTTGTCTTCACAGTCTTCTCATTTACCCAGGTTCTTTAGTACAGAAGGAATCTGTGCGGGGATGCTGACATTTTGGAGGTGAAGAAGCACAAGGAAAGAACGGAATTACAGGTGAAGGAGGTTGCTTAGGGCCCTTGAGGTTTTCAGAACTCTGTGTGCCTTGTTCCCTCTGTCAGGACCATTCTTCCCTCTTTCTATGCCTGGCTATCATCTTCCCCTCTTTTAGGACTGAGCTTATATATATCTTCCTTGATCCCCTACAAAATGCCTACTGCTGTCTTCTCACTGTCTATTTCCTCATTGAGCTCTCCAAGCTCCTCTCGCGGTCAAGCACCCTTGAACCCCCAGGGTCTACCTGGCAGAGTTTCCAGGCACCACATAGTAGGTCTCCCGTAAACACCTGTTAAATATATGAAAGAATGTGGGCCTAAAAAATTGCATGAGTTAGGTTCGATGGCAAAAAGTTTATGACAAAGAGGAGTTAACTTTTAACGGTTTCTGACGAAATTGGCTTCAATTCAGGGATCTAAAGAGGAAAATTGGGTGGAATGTCATTTTAAAGACTAGAATTTCATAGCTTCATCCATACTTGGGGCTGGACGAGACTCTGAAGTCATCCATGTCAGCCTTGCTATGAAGGTTCCTTTCAATCTCAGCCGAGGCTTTGACTGGAGTCCTCCAGGGATGAGGAACTCACTACTTGCGGAGCAGACAACCCCACGGAACTGCAGTGACGATTTGAAAGTTATTCATTACGGTGAAACCAAATTTTCCTCCCAGGCCTTCTCCTCATTGGTCTTCATTCATCTGTCTGCAGCTCCACAGATAGAGACTATAACCTCAGCCCGAGGGCATCCAGAAGGAGGAGATCATGGTCTCTTATCCAGGCCAAGTGTCCTCAGCTACTTCTAATATAATAATAATATTTTAACATTTAATTTAATAATAACAAATAACAATAAGTTATCAGGTTCCCTCACCTTCTTCTACATATGTTTCATAAATTATTCAGTGCTCTTTTTAATGATGTGTTGAGAAAACAAATCAGTTTTCCTGGGGACCCGTAGAAAGTATTTCTTCTCTCCTGATGCTACAGTTTGTTAATAAGCTCAAGACTAGTTAGAGACTGCCAAAGATGACGTATCTATTTCTGCAAACACAGGCCCTTATTAGAACCATCTGATTAAGAATTGCCTTCATGGCCTCTCTTCTTTCCCTCAAACTCACACTACAAAGTATTAGATGTGTAATCGCTAGGTCATGGATCTGATGAGGAAAATTTGTTCCTGCTTAGAAAACAGCCAGGGTTGGAAACGAGGGAGAAAGGACTCTGTAACAATTTTTTTTCATGATCCGTAAGGTCCCTGAAAGGTTATAGAACAACTTAAAGGACTTTTCGGATAAATCAGTTTATGAAGCAGTCCTATGGGGCACCTAATTGGTTTGCTGGGGTGGGGGTGGGGGGTCAGACACTCACCAGTTCTCTGTAGAGCGGGTCCAAGGTAAACCAGAGAGCCACAGCACACCTCTGGCCCTTGGTGACTGCCTTCACCCCATGCGGGTTCTCTCCTCCAGATGAGAAGCTGATCATACGCCCACACTTTGGTTTTATAGAGGCCTAAGAAAGAAAGTGAAAATTAGACCCTAAATTCCCATATCATGAACATCTCTACAATCCCTCTTCCTTCTCTATCCTTCTGTGGGATTATTTGGGTCAAGTTTTTAATCAAAGAATAATAGAATCCTGGGGTTGAAGAACATACAGATTGTCTCAATTTCCTCATCTGTAAAACAAGGTTAAGGTCAAAATAACATCTAATTCAGAAAATAAAATTATTCAGGTAAAATGGTTGGCACAGTCCATGGCACATGGTAATTGCTCAATATATGTTCTGTTGATAGCTGGCAAATTCCACGGAAGCAAAGGCTCTCTTTTAATTCACTTCTCTAACTTTAGCATTAGCACAGAATCTGGCATAAGGAAGATGTACATTTAATATTTGTGGAGTGACAAAAACAAATCACGGGGACATCTAGAGTGCTGGTAAATTTTTATTATTGATCTAGGTAGTGGTTCCATGGGTACACCCTTTCTAATTCCTTAATGTTACACTTATGGTTTGTGAACTGTTCACAATACGAAGATTTTAAAAAGTCCAGTCTAATCCCATATGATACTTTAATTGCCATTACAATCTTCCTGGTCCTCAGACAATACTTATTACCTCCAATGATGAGAACACACTACCCCTTGGGGTGACCCATTCCATGGCCTCCAGGGCTCTGAGATGACTGACACAGTCCTTCCAAGCTTGTGCATTGCTCAGGTGGAGCTGTCCACTAATACTTAGGTAGAAAAGGGTAGAAGGAAACAACTGCTGGGGGCCCTGAGCCAGGGGATTGGATCAGATGTGTAGGCTCTCCAAGGTGAGCAAGGTTAAGCAACTCAATATTAGGTCTTGCTTCCATGTTTAAAGAAGTGTCCGAGGTAAGGAGAGCTCATTTTTCTTTCTTGAGAAACAGAAACCTTATTCATTCCCTAGTAGAGCTTAGAAAAGTAAAGTACAAGCAAAACAGTGGTACCCATCATTTCACTGTTTGATAGGATGGGCCTGTTATAACTAGCTATTTTCTGAATGGACTCGAGTTTGATACAGGCCCATTAGTTTCCTTCACCATAAAATGGGATGGCTCAGTTTTTCACTGCCAGATTCAGGAGGAACATTTGGAAAATTTCCTGAAGCCCTTGGATGCTACCTCACATAGGTACGCCCAGACTGTGTGACCTACATGTAGAAGGTCAAAGGTACATGGAGTCAAAAAGTCTGAGACCCAAGGGTGTGTGTGTGTGTGTGTGCGCGGTGTGTGTTAAAAGAAAGAGTGGAGAAAAGCAGTCAGTGTCTAGTTACTCTATTTACAATAACTGAAGAGTGATTTGTCTTTGCTAGAGTTTCTTTTCTTAAATAGCTTTACCAAAGTGACTTTTCTGATATAAATCTAGAAATTTCACTAGTTATTAGTGTCCTCAGAATCAATCTAATTTCCTTTTTCTGGAGAAGGAATTTGTACATTTCCACATAGAAACAGCAAAATAAATGACACTTGAAGCATATGAAGTAGGACTGGAAGCCTTCCTATACGTGGCTTCAGGATCTAGAGGGTCAAGTTTTCTGGGCTGCTCACCCCCTGGTGCTGGGCAGGACTTACGTAACCTCACGCGGCTCCCACTGCGTCTCTGTGGTTACCAAGACTTGGCAACAACATCTAACAGTACTAAAGAAAGGGTGTGGGGACAATTTAATGTTTTCTCTCTGATGGAATTGGAAGCATAAAAACTATTTTTACGTGAAGAACTTTGGGATATTTAGGAGAAGAAGCCATCAAGTGCCTGAAGCAGGTGGAATTGATTACCGGTGTGTGGATTCACAAGCATCTCAGGCCTAATCTTATCAAATTATAGCATCACGTGCTATAAAGCAGACAGAGGAACACATAAGCTCCATTTATGACTTGGCTTCTACAGGAAAATATGTTCTGAAGAATAGATAAATGATTGTAGACATACTTTTGGAACACAGCTCCATTCTATCGAATTTAATTTTTCATGAAGCAAATGGAACTCATGAAATTTTATCTTTTTCAAACTTGTGCAGAGAAACCAAAAATCCCTAAATACTCATGTTTCACAAATAAATGCTGCTGTGGAAATAATCACGTATCTTCCAAATATGATAAAATTCCTTTTGTTTTCCATGTAAGAGATGATTAAAAGTCAGAAACGCCTTTGTACCGTACTTGTCTTGAATAAAGGTAAAGTTTCAGCTGCCATTCAGTTAATTATACAATTTAGAGATTTTTTCCGAAGTAAAGGACTTAGAAGGCTTTTATTCCTTGGTGTATCCCCAAATTAGGGTAATTTCTGCTTCATTTGTCCCTCCAGAGACAGAGAAGGGAAAACTATCCATTTCTCTTTTTTAAAGATTTTATTTTTTTCTTCCTTTTTCTCCCCAAAGCCCCCCGGTACATAGTTGCATATTCTTCGTTGTGGGTCCTTCTAGTTGTGGCATGTGGGACGCTGCCTCAGTGTGGTTTGATGAGCAGTGCCATGTCCGCGCCCAGGATTCGAACCAACGAAACACTGGGCTGCCTGCAGCGGATCCGGCACGTGAACTTAACCACTCGGCCACGGGGCCAGACCAATCCATTTCTCTTTTTAATTGGGACTGGTGACCTAAGAATTTTAATTATCTACAAAATGCTCTAAGAGCTCTGCCATATGCATTAATATGAAGTAGAACTAATTTGGCAAAATATATCTCTCAACTTGAATTTAAACATTGTTTAAATTGATTTTTGTTTTACTTTTTTTGGGAGAGGGGTGGTTAGATTCTGTATTTTTTAAAATAGTTGCACTTTCCTCTTAAAAGTATAGATTTATTAAAGGAGAATATTATCTGCCTTCCCATCTTTAAAAAGCAGAATTCCAGTTAACTTGCATTCAACAATTAATGAATTACTGATTCATACATAGTATTCCAGGCATCACTTCTTTTCAAACACTGAGCATTTCCAAATTTGGCCACTAGATGGAGAAGAAGCAAAGAAATCTTTTTGACCACCTGTCTGATTTTCCTTCCAATTGTATGAGATGCAAGCATTTTTGAACCGTAGTTTCAATGTTAGCAGAGCTCAGAAAGCAAACGCTTTCTGCACATAGCTCTTCAAAAAATGAGAATTTTGTATAAGGATTTTACTTATTTACTTATTTGAGGAAGATTAGCCCTGAGCTAACTGCTGCCAATCCTCCTCTTTTTGCCGAGGAGGACTGGCCCTGAGCTAACATCCATGCCCATCCTCTTCTACTTTATATGTGGGACGCCTACCACAGCATGGCTTGTCAAGCAGTGCCATGTCCGCACCTGGGATCCGAACCAGAGAATCCGGAGCCACTGAAGCAGAACTGTGCACCTAACCACTGAGCCACCAGGCTGGCCCTGTATGAGGATTTTAAATTCCAACCCGGATTATCAATCTTGATTTAATTTCCCAGATCATGAAGCATGAAATATTAAAAGCTTTTTACAAAAACGTGTGAGGCATCATGACTTTTTAAATATATATTATTGTACTAAATTGCGTGAATTATTATTCTTAATTATGACAATGTTTTTGGACAATTTTAACCAGAATCCCCACGGGGTTCCCCTTTAAACCCAATAACATATAGTTTTTGAATACCATCTGCTCCTGCTCCAGTGGTATGTCATGAATAATATATGGGTGTTTCACTATTGAGAAAAAGCTGCAAAATATGAAGGGAAAACCAAAAAACTCAGAAAAAGTTGTGTTAATCACCTATATAATGCAAAATCCTTGAAGTTTATCACATACATGCCCCAACTATTTAGATTTTGTATGGAGGAAACAGATATCTCGTAACCTATTTATAATTCGATTACCTCCTCAATGAGACAACCTGCTCTTCTACCCTGGTGTCTGCTCTTTGGCTTAAAGATCAAAGGATGCTGGCTATATGGTCTATAAGTGCTAAGTAGGCTGCTTTTCCAAAAGCATTGGTTTGCTTAGGAAGATGGTGGTTGAATTTAACTTTTGACTTTTACCTGTAAAGGCATATTTAGAATCTCATCCAAAGCTTGTGCACACACACACACATTCACATATATGTACATACATACACACTCATACATGCACACATATACATTAACCTTGATAACTAGGCATCTGGAGGCCAATCCTCAATCCACGCATATAGAACACCAGGTTACTTAAAAGCCAATCTGTAGAATCATTTGACCTGTCCTAGGCTTGGGTGATTTAGGAACTGGTGTTGTCACGTTTCCATCAGATTACTTGACAAAGAATGAGAAGACCCAGGTTCTGGTTCCAAATTTAACTTAACAAGCTATATGGTGATGAGAAGATCCTTAATGTCTCTATTCTTTAGTTTACTCATCTGTAAAACAGACTACAAGATTTTTATTGATGGTTCCTTTTCTAACATGTTATGATCTATAAGTTTACCAGGACTCTCTCCACCTCTTGAACTCCTGAGCTCAGAAATATTTGAAATCCAACAGTCTGTGAGTCCTTGGAAAATGGCAAAACTGAGATAAAAAACGCTAAATAAATTTGCAAGAATAGGTTTACTCACAGTCACAGTCTTGGCATCCATCTCAGTGAATATGAATTCTCCTCCTTCAAAGTCATCATTCATATACAGGAGAGCACTACACAAGGAAAAGCAGAACCATCTGCTCTGTTATATGCTGACAACAACAGTACCACAGAACATTGAAAACTAGTGATGAACTGAGCAGCCTGATTAGCAAATTTCCTTTGAAGTAGACATTGAAATAACTGAGCCTCTTAACCCTCAAGAGTAGGATCAAATGTAGCTTTGGTTATAGCCCTGAAGCCTATATTTATTCGACTATTGTTAAATTTTTAATTATATTTCAAACCTCATCTCACATTTCACTTCTTTCCAAGAAACCCAACTAGATTTAACCTAGTCCTTTGAACCCACCCACACTACTTACAAGTCTCTTATTCTCTTTCATACTAGTAACTCTAAATGATGTATTTTTTCCCCCAACTAGCTGGAGAGCTCCAAGGGGTTCTAGCCCAGCCTTGCAGATAGGGGGCGCTCAATGGTTTTGTATGGTGCACAGTGTAGTAACAATTAACACACTATTACACACATGGTGACTACCACTCCTGACTCTTCTCTTTACACATTGAAATATCTTAATAAGAGAAAACATCTTTTTTCTCCTGAGTTTCCAGTTTCCAATTCACAAAATGTAAACATAGATAAGTGATGTGATAAGATCCTGATGTGTGTTGAGACCCCAGACCCTTGTGTTCTCAGACTGAGATATACATACTACAAGGATGTTTCAGTGAAAGACACGAAATAAAAAAAAAAAAGCCTATAAACTTTACTTTTTGTAGTAAAACAAAATGGACTCTGTGGAAAGGATGCAACAAAATGTGCATGGGTTTTTAAGATAAAAATACAAGATGCTAAAGTTGCTTCTTGGTTGTGGCAGCTGCTTTAGATTATTTGAGAATCACTGCTTCATAGAGATGAATATGATAAGCAAAACAGGTCAGCTTTCTAGTTTCCTTTTTCTCCCCCATATATTCTTTTTTTTTTTTTAAGGATTTTTTTTTCTTTCTTTTTTTTGAGGAAGATTATAGCACTAGGCTCACTACTGCCAGTCCTCCTCTATTTTGCTGAGGAAGCCTGGCCCTGAGCTAACATCCGTGCCCATCTTCCTCTACTTTATGTGAGATACTTACCACAGCATGGCTTGCCAAGCAGTACCATGTCTGCACCCAGGATCTGAACCAGCAAACCCGGGCCGCTGAGAAGCGGAACATACGAACTTAACCGCTGTGCCACGGGGCTGGCTCCTTCCCCCATATATTCTTAAATGCATAACTCTATTTTAGTTTCCTTGTGAGCATAAGTTGACAGTAACAATGATCCCTATAGGAAAACTCCTAGATACTTCTTTCTTTTTTCTTTTTTTATCAAGGTAATATTGACCGTAACATTGTATAAATTTCAGCTGTACCTCATTATATTTTACCTTCTGTATAGACTACATCGTGTTCCCCACCAAAAGTCTAGCTGCCATCTGTCACGGCAGACGTGTGCCCCTTTACTACTTTCGCCCTCCCCTCTCTCCCTTCCCCCCCCCCCCCCCCCCGCCGTAACCACCAATCTGTTCTCTGTATCTATGTGTTTGTTGTTTAACTTCTACATATGAGTGAAATCATATGGTAATTGTCTTTCTTTGTCTTACTTATTTCACTTAGCATAATACCCTCAAGGTCCATCCCTGGTGTCACAAATAGCAGGATTTCATCTTTTTTATGACTGAGTAGTATTCTATTGTATACATATACTACATCTTCTTTATCCATCATGTGTTAATGGGCACTTAGGTTGTTTCCCTGTCTTGGCTATTGTCAATAATGCTGAATGAAAGTAGAACACTATCTTACACTATACACAAAAATTAACTCAAAATGGATTAAAGACTTGAATCTAAGACTTGAAAGTATAAAACTCCTAGAAGAAAACCAAGGCAGTACACTCTTTGACATCAGTCTTAGCAGTATCTTTTTGAATACCACGTCTCCTCAGGCAAGGGAAACAAAAGAAAAAATAAACAAAGGAGACTACATCAAACTAAAAAGCTTTTGCAAAGGAAAATATCAGCAAAACAAAAAGACAACATACCAACTGGGAGAAGATATTTGCAAATCATATATCTGATAAGAGGTTAATATCCCAAATATGTAAAGAATTCACACAACTCAACAACAACAAAGGCACAACCCAATTAAAAAATAGGCAGAGGACATGAACAGACGCTGTTCCAAAGAAGACATACAGATGGTCAACAGGCACATGAATAGATGTTCAACACCACTAATTACTAGGGAAATGCAAATCAAAACCACAATGAGATATCACCTCACACCTGTGAGAACGGCTATGATTAAAAGGAAAAGAAATAACAAGTGTTCGAAAGGATGTGGAGAAAAGGGAACCTCCATACACTGCTGGTGGGAATGTAAACTGGTGCAGCCACTACGGAAAACAGTACAGAGACTCCTCAAAAAATTAAAAATAGAACTACCATATGACCAGCAATTCCACTTTTTGAGTATTTATCCAAAGAACATGAAAACACTAATTTGGAAGATACATGCACCCCTATGTTCATTGCAGCATTATTCACAATACCCAGGGGTTTTTGATAGCTGTTGGGCAAAAGCTTGTTTTTGAAGCAGGTGCTGGCTGTACCTATAGTCCCGAAATGTGTAAGCAGGAGGCTCCTTCCAGCATTCATTGGCCTCTGGATCCAATAGACAGTTGTCAGCATGGATGGGATGACTGAGGTCATTTCTTCTGTCCTGTTGACCTACCAGAAAAGAGAACAGGGAAGAATGAGAGATGGAATGTAGTAACCTCCAACAGCAAAACTGACAATCTGACTGTCTCCTCCCATTGCTGGTGCCCTTTGTAAATCTGAGGAGACAGAAGACAGCAGAACAGATGAAAGAACACTGGATGAGCAGGCAAGAGACTCTGGTCCTGCTTTGATATGAACTTGATGTGAAACCACAGACAATTCACACCTGCCTCTTCAACTATAAAAGTTCTTTGATATAAACATACATATAGAAATTCCACGCATTTCCTAGGTTATATTTCACGTGGGGGCATAAAAGGGAGAGGATGAAATGAAATGTAAAAAAAAAAGATTTGATTCAGCTGAAAGTTCACCAGTGGAAAAGTCTACTCCTGTGACATTACTCCTGCCCCCTCTTCAGGAGGGTGGAGAAGAGATCTAGAGAAGAAATACTGACGGCAGGGAGTCAGGAGCTCTCTGCCTTTTCAAGAACAGTTCTTTCAACCATCCCTTCATCTTCGTGCTTCCACTCAGTGCTTGTGGACATAATGGGGACTGTAATTTCCAGGTTCCTGGATCCCAGAAAAGTGAAACCTAGAGCCGAAAAGCATTTTTCCGTGTGACTTAAGGAGGCAGTAGAGACAACTTTGAAAGGGAAAATAGGCAGAGCAATGGTCTTCTGGAACTTCAGGGGACCAAAACCGAGAAAAAGAGGGAAGGGAAAAATAAGAGTTCGTAAGCTTCTTTTGTTTTAGAACGTTAGAGCTCTTCTAAACCCTCAGTGTCAAATGTAATAGAGCTTTGCTTTGCATTGTTTTCTTTCTCATTTCACTGTGGCTAGAAGGTAACAAGTTCAGACTCTGGAATCTCACCAGACAGGGCTGTTCGGCAGACCATGTGCGTATAGGAAAAATACAGGGTTGAGTTCAGCATGAAATAGGATTCTACAATCTTTCGAGCCTTCTCGCTGATGTCATAAAACAGACGGGCACTCTTCAGTGGGACTCGGCCTTCATAACCAAACTGAAGAAAAAGAAGAACATTAGATACCACTGGATTGAGGGGAGGACTTGAGAAAAACAGACGCTGGGTTTCAGTAAGCCAGTATAGGATGGTCATCTCTGCGTTGGCCAGTGAGAATACTAAGGCACACTTATGGATTTTTAGGAAAATAAGCCATTGAAATAAGCCCTTCCTAATTAAAGATGGAACATTTGAAACTAATCACTCCCTCTTCTCTTCTCTTGTGATGCTTTCCTCATTCCTCTCCAACAACACTTCTTGCAGTTACAGAATAATTACTTATTTGGGTATGTTTTCACCACCAGACCATGAGCTTCTTGAGGACAGGGGGATTGTACATTTGTCAAATATGAATTTAGGAAATACACAGTTTGATAAATTGATGGCTGAATGGAAGAATGCAAGAATGATTAAAAACAATCAAGGAGGGCCAGCCCCTGTGGCCTAGTGGTTAAGTTCAGTGTGATCTGCTTTGGCAGCTTGGGTTTGGTTCCTGGGCACAGACCCATACCACTCCTCTGTCAGTGGCCATTCTGTGGCAGCAGCTCAGATACAAAAAGAGGAAGATTGGCAGGGTATGTTAGATCAGGGCAAATCTTCCTCAGCAAAAAAAAAAAAACAACCCAACAACAATGAAGGTGCCATTTCATACTCGTGCCTTTCAACTGCCCTGATAGGTCCATATTCTAAACTCTTCTGTTTCCTGTATCTGCCATTCACAGAAGGTCCTAGGTTGACACTCAGAAACCCAAACCCAAAAGAAGTTCAGACTTTACTTTGAGTGCTTTCAGGACAGTTGCACCTTCAAACTTCTCATTGGGTGTATGAGGTGAAGTCTTTCCTCTGTATCCATCACCAACAAGCATGATGCCCTGGAAGCAAAATATAAAAGATGCTTTATTAACGATAACTATGAATTCATCTGGTCTCCCTTTCTGCCTTGACTGCCAGAAGGGCTAAGAACGAAAGTCAACACTTAGAACCCATGTCCTGTAGTTTCACTGCAAGTATCTTTGCTGTAGACATCTTTGCCAAAAGCCTTTTCCCTGCAAACATTTTTGCTGCATAACTAATCGGCTGTAAGGCAATTTTGGTGTAAAAGATAAAATAACTGTTTGACAGATTTATGTGTGTTTTTTTTGTCATTTCATTTCTCCATTGATGAAGTTCTCACAGTTACTCCCATTTTTATACGATATAAATCTTAGCAGCTCTCACAATGGTCTATATGGTGATGAGCAGACATGGCAGTATTAAAATATTTAGCAGTTCTTACAGTTAGTGACATTTTATTGATGGCTTTATTGAGCTGACAGATGAAGATGATTTGCCCCAAGAATTGGTTTTTTATTTTGAAACACATTATGTTGGAAGAGAAAGAGGGCTGAGGGCCTCTTCTTTGAGGGCACAGAGTTGAACCCACATTTCCCAGAGAACAATCAAAAGTGCTTAGTTTGGTACAATCCACACACCCACACACACAGACACACACAAATCAGTTCTTTGTGCAGTATTGCCATGAATCTACATATACACAATTTAAACAGATTCAAATATTTTGTATTTCCCTATAAAGTCTTTTTAATTTTGTTATTCACTTATTCACGCTTATGATGTCCTTTTAAATTAATGTCCCTCTTTTATTTTTCGTGATTTTATCTTCTTTTTTTCTTTGCAGGGAAAGATTTGCCTTGACCGAACATCGGTTGCCAATTTTCCTCCTTTTTTCCCCCTCCCCAAAGCCCCAGCACATGGTTGTATCCTAGGTGTCAGTTCTTCTACATCTTCTATTTGAGCTGCTGCCATAGCATGGCAACTAACAGACGGGTGATGTGGTTCCGCGACTGGGAAGCGAAACTGGACAGCCAAAGCAGTGAGCACCAAATTTTAACCATTAGGCCATAAGGGCTGGCTCTTGTGATTTAATCTTTTACAGTAAAATTGCCTTATGGCCAATTAGTTACGTAGCAAAAATATTTGTGATGAAAATGCTTATGGCAAAGATGTCTGCAGTAAATATGCTTGCAAGGAAACTCCCTAGAACACTCAGACCTTCCCCATTTTGTTCCAGGATCCTGGTATCATTAAGTTTTCCAATCAAAAGAGATCTCTTTATTTAACCATCACCCCACATTTTCATTGTAAAATACCACCACTTTTTGTAGAAATAGGTAGAATATAAATGATTAATACACTGGTTAGTTATGGATTAAAATAAAGGAATTTTCCCAGTGATTTTATACGGTAGGCAGGGCACATGCTGGATGGCTGTTGGCCGGAAATTAAGCCACTAACTATTCCAGATTCACTAGCTATGTCCAGATCTGGACAAAACTAAAATTATCCCAGCCCACAGGCTATGAAAGTGCCTCCACAAGCAACATCCTTCTCCTAAAGAAAGTGACATTTCAGGCCTGATTGCCTGACTCCCATGAGACTAGGACCGAAGCACTTCCAGCTTGCGCTAGGCCGGCACATCAGGCTCCCCTCCATCTCTGGTCCTCACACTGGCCACGCTATGGAGCTCCCGACACTGTTCTTCCGACAGGACGTTATCCAGGAGAACCCGCTGAGTCCCGTTCAGCTGCTCCGAGTTATAGACAAACGTGATGTTCTCATAGAGCAGGGGGCCACCTGAAGGGACAGAGCACATTGTCTTCTCTGTTACCTCTGTCCCCAAGAAGAGAAGCACAGAACACTCAACAGCTTTCCACATGCACTTGAGGGGAGTCAATTTCCTTGTGAATATTCAGGAATGCAAAGACAAATTGCAAATTTGGTTTCTCATAATGTCATTTGGTTTCTCAATAATGTTGCAATAATAAATTATATTTGTATAGTATTTTGGGTTTGATAAACTATCTTTCCATTTGATTCCAGTGATGATCCTACAAAGCACACTGGGACTTTCATAGGACTCTCCTCTGAGAAGACTTTCCAGAATTCTCCCAGCAATTAGACCCACCTTTCTCCACAGCCCTTGGTTCCTACCTCTGTTACAACATCACGTGCAATGACTTGATTACATGTTTGTGTCCCCAGGCACGACATCCACACCTCGGTGTCAGTGGTATGCAGAGCAATGCCTTTACCAGGAAGCTCAGGTAGTAAAGGCACCATCAGGACAGTCACGCCCCAGTTACAAGACTCCTTCCCAGTCTTCTTCCCACCGCCTACCCGACTCTAGATGGTCTTGCTTTTGGAATATTTATTTTTCTCTGCCCGCTGGGCAAAATCTTCATATTATTTTTTTTTACAGGAGGGTTTCCCGTAGGCACCTACTGTCTCCCTGGACAGAGCCCATAACGTTGTGAAATTAGCCCCATATGGGCTTTTCAGAGGGTGATGCTTAGAGGCCACATTTTGATGGTGAAATTACAAAATCTAGACCTCACACAATCCTTTCCTCACAGAGAGCAGGACTGAAGGACAAGGCCTCCGAGGGTGAGGAAATCTTCAGATTAGCAGAGCGCAACCATCTTGAGCCAGAAAACTGAACGGAAAAGAAAAACACTGTTTTTCTACCCTTTATACTACTCCTAAGGGACTTGCTATGTGCCTGTCAATAACAGCAGCTCCCCATGGAGGGAGTTGGGGGGAGGGCGCAACTTCCTTCATCCCCCCAGTAGAGCAAAGGTCACCGACATACTGGTCTAAGACACATGGGTCGCAAGAGGAAGAGACGGTTGAAATTGGTGTCTACTCTATCTCTTTAAAATGTCAAACTAGGGAACATACTAATTGTTTATTAGTCCAGCTGAAATAAAAAAGTCACTATAGTCCACAATTAATGGAATATTAAAATGATGAGACAGTGTTTCTCAATCTTGAGTAATGTATGATTATCTGTTAAAGCATAAGTTCCCTAAGGAGAGCCAGTGCTAACAAATTATTTTGACTGTGATTTTATTTTCACATTTGCAATCATAAAACTATGAGCACAGTATTTATTTTTCAGTTTCCTCCAACTATAATACCCAATCCAATTTACAAGATTAAATAAAAGCAAGACCATAAAACCAACTAGATTCAAATGAACACTATTAATGAAACGGATAATGTTATTTTGTGGAAACTAAAAAGCTACATTCCACATGAATATTCTACTAACTAATCTGGCCCAGGTACTTCGGAGCCAGCATTCCGCACGATGCTCTCGGTGTGTAATGACTCATTCATTCTACCACAACTTTTCTCTGTTGAAACTACTACAAAACCTTAGGATATCGCGATGAATTTTAGCCTTCACTTGGTCCTAAGAAATTATTTATAAGTTCATCCTACATCATTTCCTGCTAGTCTTCAATCATTGAAGTATTATTAACTGGTGTCAATGTGATGGTAAAACTGCACAGATACCCACTGAGGTAGGTCCAAAATCTCATGGCAATACTTGGCTATAAGGTGTTCATTCAGATGATGCACTAGTTGCCCCTCTTAATTTTTTTAAATTGTCATCAAAATTTATAAATACAGAATTTCTCAGATTCCAGGAATATATCCACAAGGTTCCAGTTTCACTATGTTTTGGATGAACAGAAGACAATATATATATTTTTCTACAATTTAATGTTTCCCAATCTTTGTTCTGCAGAAAAGTTTGTGAGGAAAAAAGAGTTTCTTGATCAAATGTGCTTGGGAAGTACTGGGTTCAAGAAAATTTAAGAGGACTTCTTGGAACTTTTAATATGTCAGCAGGCATTATGAGTATCCTAAGTACTGATATAGTATGCAGCTGTTCTCACCCTTAATGGAGCATAATACCCTTCTCTCTCTCTCTCTCCTTCCATTCCTCCCTCCCTCCCTTCCGTCTTTCCTGTGGCAGAGAAACTCTAAGATAGCCCCTAATGATCACTGCCTCCTGGTATTCAAAGGCTTGTGTAATTTGCTTCCCTCAAGTGTGGGTGGGTCCTGGAACTTGTTTCTAACCAACAGAATTTGCCAAAGGTGATGGGATGTCACATCTGTGATTGCATTACATAAGACTGAAACTTCTATCTTCCTAGCAGACTCAGTCTATTGCCTTCTCAGCTTGCAGTTTGATGAAGAAAGTGGCTGTTTTGGACAGGCTCACTTGGCAAGGAATTGAAGGTACCCTCCAGCCAACAACCAAGTAGGAACTGAGGACTACAGTCCAATAAGCCTTTAGGAAGTCAATTGTGTCATCTGAGCCTGGAAGAAGACAGTGACCCAGCGAAGCCTTAGAAGAGACCTCAGCCTTCATCAAAAACTTGACGGAAGCCTTGCGGCAGACCCTGAAGCAATGGACCCAGTTAAGCTATCCCCAGACTCCTGACCCACAGAAACTGTGAGATAGTAAATGTATGTTATTGTAAGCTGCTACGTTAGTGCTAATTTTTTCACAGCATTGAAAAACCTGTAGACTCCTTCACCCATGGAACCTCTTAAGACAAAACACAGTTAGTTTGGGAGAAGTTGCTGCGATCTATATAGTTGATTAAGATTCATAGCCAAATTAAGGCAGCCCCTCAATATTAGAAAAGTGAACTGCACATTCTACTCCCACTTAGAAATATAAAAAGAGATGTTTCTTCAACAAGAGAGACAAGATACTTGCAGGTTCACTGAAAAGCATTTTCTAACATAAAACTCAAATAGAAATTGAAGGCAGACTAAGGATTCAGTGAACTAGGTCAGTTTGTGCTTTGCCATGTGTTTCTCATTTTCTATATTGAGAATGTATAACTTCAAATATAATTAGCTTATTTTCAAAACATGACTTTAAAAGTTACTAAAACTAAAATATTTAGAAAAATGCCTACCATTCTTAAGCCTGTATAAGTATTTGCTATCATTATTATGACTATTACTAAATCAGTAAAATACGCCTGGTATACTGTGTTAGGTACTGACAGAGACATCTTGAATGAGCATAGAGCATAATGGGGTATATATATATATTTTTTAAGATTTTATTTTTTTTCCTTCTTCTCCCCAAAGCCCCCCAGTACATAGTTGTATATTCTTCGTTGTGGGTCCTTCTAGTTGTGGCATGTGGGATGTCACCTCAGCATGGTTTGATGAGCAGTGCCATGTCTGCGCCCAGGATTCGAACCAACGAAACACTGGGCCGCCTGCAGCAGATGGCGAGAACTTAACCACTCGGCCATGGGGCCAGCCCCAATGGGGTATATTTAAAAGAGGGCTACTGGGATATTGACAATTCCCCCAGCCATACTACAAGTAACACACAAAGATCAGGTGAAGGGACAGCATGCAACATGGGGTCTTAAACATCTAAACTCTAACAGGTACAGGCAGAATCTGTCGTAGAAATCTGCCTTTCATGTAGCTAACACAATCACCACTAAGCAAAGAGTTTTATACAGAGGTTTCTCACACATACATTTAACAAAAAATAACCAACTACCCACTCACTAACCAAAAAGGGGAAAAATAAACCCTGCCATTCAAAAACGCAAGTCTACCAGCTTGCAAATGACTAGTAGCACACCAGACAGAGAAAACATTAAAATAAAAATAAAACTGTATTCCAATAAGTTGTGGTTCCTGGGGCCTGATTTGATAGCTTCAGCCAACTTTTAACCACAGCCCAAGGAGATTTAGTTAAACAACTTAATTCTTCTCTCATTCATAAAATATGTGCCTGGTTCTGACTTCCCAGATGCAATAAAGAGGGATCATCTAGGAAAATACTCCTTTGTGCTCACTGTCTGTGGCTCATGGCGAGAAGAATCATTTTACCATATAGATCACAATGTCATACAAGTCAGGACAAGGGGGTGCAGACTCACAAGCCCTTATATGAGCACGGCCCTTTACAGTTTACAAAAGACTTTTCACATTCATCCTCTCCGAAAAGTTGTTATCCTTCTTTTACAGATGAGGATCATCGGGCCCAGAGAGATAGAGTCTCTAGTTATCCATCACTGAAGAGTAAATCAGACTAAGATAACCCTGCAAACTAGGCCTCTGATTCCAAGTTCAAAATTCTTTCTACTATACCCTCACTGACTCTGGGATTATTATTGAGCAGGACCTTTGGAAAACTGGGGGTTGAAAGGAGAATGGATAAGTGACAGATGTTTTTAGTAAGTTGACATGCATGTCCCATGGACTGGAGTCATCCTGGGATGTGGCCCCAGGTTACTCCCATCTTAATGCTTGGGAGCCACCCAATATCAATACTACTAAATACTGTTAGGTAACCAGAGTAGATGACAATCGCCTTGTGAAAGATAAGAAAAGCTGAAATATATTCTACTCAGTGAAGCATGCATCCTTTCTTGCATCCCTGACATCTGCTTTCATCCAGACCAAGATATGAAAGTGTTTTCTGGTTGAGAACTTTGCCTCTGTCTAATGCTATTCTTAATTTAGACCCTATTTAGATCTCTAGTGACTGTAGAGAAGGTTTTCCAGCGCGTTCCCAGAAAACATTCTAAGATTCATTAGCCCATTCAACTAAGCAAATTCTGCAGAATCGATAAAATTTGGTAACCCAGCCAATCATGATCTTTCTCCATCCCGTGTGGTCTTCTGTTCTATCCTTCCCATTAGCCTTCCAAATCAGTTGCTGGACATCAGATTCCCTGGTAGCCAGAAAAAAAAGTATGCTTTGAAATTTGGCAACTCTCCTAGAGTTTCCCGAGCCTTTACAGCAAAGTGCTGGCTTATTGGCATGTACTTCCTGGGTGATTTCTTGGCTTAAAAAGCAACATGAACTCTCGCTGACCATGAAGCTCTCTGGCACTTATAAAACAGCTTGGGCTTTGTGGCTACAAACTGAGGGTCTAGGTCAGATTAGATAAGCCTATCATCCTGTTTACTGCCTCAAATGGACTTGGAAGCTAAGCAAGGAAAGGGCTGGGAAACGCAAGAGCTGTAGAGAGCCAGAAGCTTTCACATCAGCTAGAGGAATGTGCTGACGAGCTCCCTTGTTGCGGAAAGGAGTCCTGTACTTCTTCTCAATGCAGGTTTTTGAAAACCTCTTCTTGTCTTGCAATTATTTAATCAATAGGGGATACATTTTGGGTATCTAGACACTTCTATACTCCGTCATAAGGTGAAGAAGAGAAAATGGGACTTAGATTCAAAAGCCTGGATTCAAACACCTGCTCAACCTATTATAAGCTATGAGACTTCGGACAAGTCAGTAAATCTCTGCGAGCCTCAGTTTTCTTGCCTGTGAAATGGGGACACATCTCACGTGAGATTCTGTCAGTTTTAACATGAATTGTGCGTAAATTTGCTTGAAAAAATATAAAACACAGAAATAATAATAATTGTTAAAGACTACTATTGCTATTACTACTACTGCTAATAATTTATTACTATAACAATGTCTGGCTCTATTTAAAATCTACTGTTGGCAACGTTACACCTATGTCTCCACTAACTTTGATCTTACATGAGGAGGCATCTAATGTTCTGCTCTCTCCATCTCTGTGCCTTTGTTCCATTTGTTTTGTCCACTAGAATGGCTCCCTTCACGCCTCTGTCAATTCAACCTAAATTCGACTTATCTCTAAAAGCCCTGCTCAGATATATGTGCCTCAAACACCTTAGGTTAACTAATCTAATATCTCATGTGACCTGTCCCTTCAAGTTCCTCTGATAGACAGTCGATTCCACACTATCTAGCCCCACTCATTTACTATGTGACAGAAGTAAGCCACGTAACCTCTCCAAGCCTCAGGCACTCAACTGAGGATGGCTATAATCGTCCAGCCCCTGCCTAGCTCCCAGGCTTCCTATGGGAAATAGACGAGAGAGTGAATTGGAAGCACTTTGGTGGCAAACTAAAGGTAATGAAATACAAATCTGAGATATTCTTGTTTTTGAGCCTTGCTTTCAGAATTTTATGAACGTAGTAGCTTAGTCTCATTTTTCATTTTCCAGAGAAAGTGGGTTCTGCTTTGATCTGGATAAGCCCAGGTCAAGTCCCACCCTCTCCTCCCCGTCCTTCTAACAGTAAAAGGGCACAGGTACTTACCCTCTCTTAGGTCTCGGTCTATCTTGGGTGATTTTTTCCCCATTGACAATCCATGGACTTCTGCCCCCTCTACATTCACTCCTGAAGGGACTCTGCTCATTCAAAAAAGTTGAAATAGCAATTTCTCAATGAATAAAGATGTTCAAAGGCAAAGGATATATTACCCACGTAGTCTATGACTCCATACTATATAGTTTTGTTGTATACAAGTCCACCTATCTTTCAAGATCAAATGAAATGTCACTGCCTTCATGAGGTTCTTCTCTATTTCCTCAGTGAGTATGCTCTAGTTCACTTCCCTAAATCTTCTTAGCAAACTTTACTACAGTTAATTAACCTAACCTCTTTGAGATTAGACTTTCAGTCCCACAGAGAAGGAAAAAATGATAAATGATTATGGAAACAATGATAAATTGGTAAGGAAAAAATGATAAATAAATCAGTGAAAAATTATAAATGATTATGTCCACTTTTATAATGCACAGAGTGTTGTATTATAATCTTGAACATAGAGTACATCACTGAACAACAGTTGAATTGAAATAAATGGTGCCCTAGTGTAGTGGTTCTCGACTATTCCAAGAAAGAAGACACAGGTTTGTGTCAAACTTTGCAAAGACAGAAATGATAGCATGAAGTCCTTTCAATATACACAGATTGAACAAATCCAAATGTGCATATACACTCTTGAATCTCTTGCAATCATTTTAGGCACCCAGAGGTTGAGTCCTTCAAGTCTAACCAAAGACAACAAGATGCTGAATAAGAAAATCTGGATCTGCCAGTCCCTCATGGTGAGACTCTAAGAGGATCCTTTGCCTTGTCAGGGCCTCAGTTTCTGCATTTGAAAATGGACAGTCTAGACTATGCGATCTCAAACACGTAACTCCAACATTCTATGATTCCTGAACTGCTCATAACATATAAATTGACTTTTGACTTCTTTCATTCAAAAAAATGAATTCTCTTCATTTTTGATCGAATTTATGACACTTCATATTTTAGCTTGCAATAAAACCTTCTGAGCTTCTTGCTTTCAAATAAATGCAGTAAGGGAATTCAGCATGAACAAGAAAATTACATAGTTTTATTCTATTAATAAATCAAAAACAGCATCCAATTTTCTCTGATTTAGAATCACAGAATGTTTAGCCCTCAGAGATCACCTGATCCAACCCCTTAATTTGAGGAAAGACTTGAGATCCAGAGGGGAAGATAAATTACTCAAGGTCACACATACGTGACGGGAAGAGTTGGGACCAAAATGCAGAGCTCCTAATTCCTAGTTTGGAACTCTTTTAATTATATTTGTTTGCATATCTCATAGAGTTAGGTTCCTCATAATAGATCTGACTCTAACTAACTCTTCTCATCAAAAATAAACAGTTTGTGTTCTGAATGGAGGACTCACCGATTCTCGTCCTGCCGTCCTCCATATCGGATCCAATAATTCTGTTTAAAATTTTAAAAAACTCAGTAGTTTTGTCACTAAAACACTATTTACAGAACTAAAATAAAATATACACTTAAAACATTCAAAAGACTCAAAATATTAGAAAACTTGCATATTATATCAAGATACAACATAGTTTTTATTTTAAAAAATTTAATAAAAAGGAAGGCTAAGGTTGATGCAACTTTGGCAAAGACAAAATGATGCACAAATGGATAGAAATAAACAGCATAGCATTAGCCTGGGTATCTATCCTTTTCTCCAAGAAAGTGATTTAGAATTTGGTGGCAGGAAGACACTTAAAAGAGCATTCAGTCCAACGCCTTTATTTTTTATGAATAAAACAAACAAAAAAGTATAGCTTGGTTAATCCTCTGCACAAGATCATAAGGTGAATAAGCGATTTTCTCTGGGGTCTCTTGGGATAACTCAATTTTAAAAAATAGTAAGTAGGACTGAATACAAACATATTAGAAATGTTACATTACAAATAGCATATTAAAATTATCCTAATTTTTAAAATATACTGATAAGAGATATAACTAAGACAGAAATGAAAAATGTTACAAATGTGCTATTTTACAAATAGTGCTTTTTATAAACATATGACATGTATGTCACATAAAGAACTTATATAGTAACCAACAGACAAATGAACAAAACTCATGTCCAGATAATTCAGATGAGAGGGAAAACAATAATAATCATATGTGAAAAGTTAATTTTTGCTGGTCATCAAAGGAATACAGTTTAAAACAACAATGATGTATCATTTTGTAAATAATATATGAATAATATTAATGATTTAAAAATGTTATTTCTCAGTGCTGAGATGTTTGTGATAAACTGTACTCTTCTGCATTTGCTAGGAGCAGTAAACGTGTCAGAAAACTCGCTTAAAAAAGCAATTTTAAGAACTTTAAAGCTTCTCATATCCTTTGATGGCAGAGTAATCCCACTCCTAGAAATTTCTTTTAAGGATATAGTTCAATAGAGAGAAAAATGCTTAATGCATTAAGTATGATAAAAAAAATCAGAAATAAATGTTCAGCAGAAGAAGAGCTAATTTATTTATTGAGCATCAACTCTATAGATATAGCTAAAAATAATTTTTAAAAGCTGTAAAAATATAGAAATTGCTTATGATATCAGAACAGAAATCTATCTATATCATGGTACTAGTTCTACAAAAGGTATGTCTTCACATGAAGACTGATTAAAAGGCAACATGGACAACTGGAGAAAAGTCAGCGTGACGAGTAGCATAATTGTGATTGATTTGATTTTGTTCTTTTTGAAGTCATTCTAATGTTTAAAATGTTTCAGAGAAAATAGAAAATGTTGCATCCAGAATCGAGGAAGTAAAACAATCCTGAGGCAAATGCATCATGTATAAAATACTTCTCTTCTATCCAAATATATTTGCTTTTGACTTTGGACCTCCGTGATAAGGAAATCTATAAAAGTCTTTTGAAGTTCAACACATCTATAGAGTAAACATGTTCCCCCTTGCCCGGTTTTTGGTAGCCCAAGGCAGGAGATTAGAATCTTCACAAATGGGGCTGGAGAATAAAATCTTAAAAAGAATTCCACTGAATAGTTCTTTTAAAAAAACATTTCCTCTTTCCTCTTTGCTCTTACCGGCTCAGTGTATGAAAATCCCAGACCCTCTGCAGCTGATTTTATTAGTTCTGATTCCAGTTTATGACGCTTCACAAACATTGCCAAATCCTACAGAAAAAAAAGGAGAGAAAATTTATATTTAAATAACAGTTAAGAGATACGATCAATGTTCAAGTAGAAATATTTTTCATTAGACAGCAACAAACGAGTTCAAAACAATTCAGAGCTCCAAAAAATGTCTCCATCCCAACAGAATTTCACAAAAATGTGCTTCTGGCATTAATAATTAAAGTTGGAAAGAACTGAATTCTAGAACCTTTACTAAATTGTTAGATAACTTTAAAAGAAGTGTTGCATTTGCACCAACTCTCCTCAGAGGACCTGGCAGAATGCAGTTTCTTCTCAGGACATTGGTCTCACCTCCCTGGCCTCAATGGACGCTGGGTCAACGCTGTCATCCAACAGACTCTCATAGTAATCCACATTGACTAGGACATCCTCATCATCTGGATGGAGGAGAAGATAGGCCTTGGCACACTCCAAGGCTTTCACATATTCACCAACTGAAAGACCGAGGAGTTGCAGGATTAGAGTCCGCCTAGGTCAGCCTAAAGGATTTCTAAGAGATATTTCAACATGTCTATGAGAGGTCAGCAGTAAACATCAACAAGAAGGAAGATAGGATGACGCTGAGTAGAGTAAGAAGAGATAGCTGCAGATAAAAGGAAGGACACCATTTCAGGTATTTTAAAGGTACTATCCTTTGGTCTGCTATGGTGCTAGTTGTTTTCGATAAATTATCAAAAGTTTCCACTTTTGTTTGTTTCTTGACAATTTACATTATTTAATACAGGTAAACAGAACAGAATTTTGGGATTTAATTCTGGTTTCTGTACTGCATTTGACAACATGATGTCTAAGACCAATTTCAGCAATCCAAATTATATTAACTGCTTTTAAACATAAGAAAAGATGCTCGATCTCTCTCTTTCTCAATGAGATAAATGGAAACTAAAACTATATTGAGACATCAGTTTCCATCTAATGGATTAGGGAATAAATTTGATAATATATTCTGTTGATGAGCAATAAAAAATGTACTCCATATGGAGGAAAATGTGGCAACATCTATCAAAATTACAAATGAATAAACCATTTGACACAGCAATTGTACTTCTAGAAATTTATCCTGTAGATATTCATGTGCAGATGTGAAATGACATACATAAAATGTTATTCATGTGATCATTGATTGTAAGAGCAAAAGATTATAAAACAATGCAATGCCCAATCAGTAAGCAGACATACGAAATAAATTATAGTACAACGACAGGCAGATATAAGAAAAATGAGTGAGAAAGAGCTCTGTGTACTGATACAATTAGGTTGAACCATATAAAATTATCAAAATTTGACCATTTCTGACCTAAACAAATGGCAATTTCATAGTCTGACCCAGTAAAAAAAGAACTGATGTGTTATTAATAAAACAATATAGAGAATAGTGTTGATAACATGTCATCTTCTGTGTATGAGAGGCTGAAATAAGTCAGGGTATGCATGTGTGTTGTTTCTATATAAAATTTCAGAAGGATAAATAAGAAACTGTGGGTGGTGGAGAATGAAATTGGGTTGTGGGGAAAAGGAAGAGAGGGAGGCTTTTGTGACATTTGGTCTTTGAACGTGTAAATATATTACCTGTTAATATTAAGTTGAAAAAATTAAATTTAAAAATCATATAAAACGTCAGTCTAGTGTAAGTTTCAGGACATTATCACAGCATTTGCCCACTTATAGTTTCAGTTCTGCTCTTTTTTTCCTGAGCTGCAGTGACATGAGATGAGACAGAAAATGCATAAATCCCCATTGCTTCAATGGTAAACTGAGGCACACAGAGGAGGAAATCACAAACATGTGATGTCTGTGATGTTGAGAAACACTCCCTTCTCCCGACCGGCTTCACGGATGATCCACGCTTTACCTCGATAGTAGGCAAACTGTAGGTAGTCATAATGCAGGGGAAGAAAGTTCTCAATCGGTGAGAGGCGGCCAGGGCGGGTGGCAAGTTCCCTCACGCATTCATGCTGACAAACCAGCACCTGCATGTAGTGATCTGGAAGACAAGAGCCGAGCAGTGGGTCCCCCCAGTCTGCTGAACATGCAGACTACAAGTCAGAGCCATGGTTACACAAGACATTCCTCACCACACCACAGTCTGCGATGTGTCATAATCCTCACTTCAGGACCAGAAAACTTTTTCACAAAGGCAGGAAGTGACTTGCCAAGGCCCCTAATCAGTGATCCCTAGAGTAATGAACAGTAGATGCCAAATCTTCTGGCTCCTGGTCTTTTCCCCGTACTGCACTCTTCCCTTCTGTGTATCCTTTGTTCCACCTCTCCTGAAAGTGACATCTCACCCCACCCATGCCAGCTGAATAGACGACTTTCTTATTTAACAACTTCGGGGTTCTCTGTGGATACTTTAGATGGCCTAAAGTGTCCTGGAGTCTGGCTCGGAGTTCATATCTGGCTATGCTAACGACCGGTTGAGAGAAAGGAACTGCCAGGTAGGTGGGGAGTTCGTGCAGAGAAGCAAAGCAAGAAGGCTCTTTTTCCTTGTTAACAGTTTCAAGTAACATTTCCTAAGGGAGCAATAAAAACAATATTCCTTTACATCTACTGATCAGGAACCTGTTCCACCCAGTTACAAATGAGTGCATCACCCGGACATTGTAAATCCTAATATTGCAGGACTGGTAAAATAGGAGAAGAATGAAAGTTAAAGAATTTGAATAAATACTTTACATCTTTCTGTCTGTCCTCTTTGTTCCCACTCTTCTCACTTGCACTCTCACTTCTCACTCTTTAGCTCTTATGTGGAATGCCTACACAGTGTGGCTGATGAGTGGAGTATGTCCACGCCTGGGATCCAAACCGGCGAACCTGGGCTGCTGAAGCAGAGCACATGGAATTTTAACCATTCAGCCACGGGGCCAACCCCCGACTTTGAGTTTTACAATGAAGATGGAGGTAGTCTTTTCCACAAAGAGAAGAGTTCATTCATGCTTGTGTAAAGCAGGTTCTCTGGGAATGACGATAAATCCATCTGACTTCAAGATTATACAGTTTAATTTACCACAACTTCCTCCCTTCAAAAAGTTCTCTGGGGGCTGGTCCCATGGTGCAGTGGTTAAGTCTGGAGTGCTCTGCTTTGGCAGCCCGAGTTTACAGGTTTGGATCCCAGGCACAGACCTACACCACTCCTCAAGTCATGCTGTGGTGGCGACCCACATACAAAATAGAGGGAGACTGGCACAGATGTTAGCTTAGGGCTAATCTTCATCAAGCAAAAAGAGGAAGATTTGCAAGAGATGCTAGCTCAGAGTAAATCTTCCTCACCGAAAAAAAAAAAAAGGCTCTGTATTAGGCAGAGTTTGGCTTGTTATCTCCATGATATTGAAGAGAGACTCCAAAACACAACAGGAAGGAAAACTTGTTCCCGTGTATAAGAAAATGTGCCAGTTATCGCATAACCTGTCTAACTCAATCCTATATAGCACAGCTAATAGAATCTCTGCTGTCCGTTGGCTGTTAACTGCAGTTGGAGGACGTAAGGGGAAGAATGAGTTCTGTTTATTTGATTAGCATGTTGGAAATAAATGGCCAGCTGTTTTATTTCTTAAGAAAACAACAAACAAGCCTCAACTGTTTTCTCCTAGTCAGCTGGCCATTTGCATTCCTCCTTACCTTCTAATGCACACTCCTCCTAATTCCAAATGACAAGCAAAAGGAAAGGAGGGAAACACACCCCGTAAGAACCCCAAATCTAAATGAAAGTACTTTTCAAAGCAAGATATAAATAACGGCAAAATAAGAGTGACAAAATGATATCATTTAGGACTTCAACAACCATGGCTAGTGATAAATAACTGCATTCAGAAGCCACTTGTGTTTTTCTGCAATTTTTAATGTTCTTCTAAGTCTGAAATTCCAGTATTCTGGCTTTCCAAATACATTCTGTATTTTAAAAGCCACTATTACTCCTAATTTAGGACAGTATTGAACCATACAAGAATTTACATGGAGTTATGATATCACTTTTTCATAGTTTTATTCCCTGCCTCCATTTCATATCAAATGTTACTGCACAATTAATATGTTCTAATAAGTTTGAGATCCAAGACACTTGTGTAAGAATACTTTTTAAAATTTTCTTCTCGTAACAAATTAGATATGCTTCAAATTCCCAAGGAGACTTACCATATTTCTGTGATATATAATATTTAGTTGAACTTGAGGGATTATGATTTTTTTAATCACTTTTCTTTATTGGAAGTGGGGGTGATGATAGTGGTAGCTGTGTTAAGTATTAAGAGCCTGAATTAGAAGACCTCTGTTCTTTTCCAGCAACCAACATGCTGTGGTGACCTCGAGCAAATCACTGAATGTTAATCTGTGTGAATCTGTCAGTCAGTTTTTCTCAACCAGATAGATCTCGGATATTTGCCAAAGTTGTTTACTGGCCTTGGTAGAGGCAGGTGTAAAGGCGAATGTGGGGGTGGAGGCAGGGTACGCAGCTTGCAAAACCACAGGTTAGTCAACTCTAATAAAGGAAAACACTGCCGAGTCTCAAAATAAAAGATTAAAGAGATACTCAGCAATTGAAATGGGAAACACACATAAAACTGACATTCAAATGAGCAGTGCTCACAAAAATGCAGGCAAATGGCTCTCGTGGAGGCTTGGCAAAACAAAATCTTTGGGGAAAAAACCCTCAATAATTCAGATACTTGCATTTATTTTAGGTGAAGTGAGTTGATTTTAGGTAACTGAGTGTGTGGCAAATAGGTCATTTGACAAAATGATTTTTGGTCTACCTCCTAGCCTAAATGTGGATAGCTATTCCCTAATTGTCCCCCTAAAAGACAGTAACAATTTATGACCTACATTTTCACAAACATGGACTATTGACACTTTTAATCTCTGCAATGTGATTGATGGATGTGTCATCTCCTTCCTGCGTTCATTCCCTCAACTCATTCATTTAACAAATATTTACTAAGCACCTACTATTGACCAGCCACTATACTTAGGCACGGAGGATTAAGCCCTTAACAAGACAGGGCATTAGCCAAGTTAGAGGAAAACAACATTTTCAAGGTCTGTAAGTGGAAATGAGCATGGCATATCCAAGGAATTAAAAGAAGAGTAGTAGGAATGGATCAAAGAGACAGAAAAAGAGGGAGGATAAAAACATACACAAGTGCACAGTCATGAAAGTCCTTGTTAGGGGTGCTGCGTTTTAGTCGAAGTGCAGTGGAAGCCACTGGGGGGTTTCAGCATGGCTGTGAGCAGATTTTCATTTTTTTAGAAGACTGTTCTTTCTGCCTACAGAGTAAAACGTGATCGGGACATGAGGACCAGCAAGGAGGCTTTCACAACAGTTTAGTTCAACTATACTGTTGTTTTGAACCAGGGTGGGAGCAAAAGGAGTGGAGAGAACCAGGAAATCTTAAGTGTTATTCAGAGGTGGCAGCCATCAAAGTTTGGTAACCAATCAGAGGGGAGTAGGAACTGAGGGCAATGTTGCATTGAAAGTTAACTTCTTGGGGCTGGCCTGGTGGTGCAGTGGTTAAGTGCACACATTCTGCTTTGGCAGCCCTGTGTTCGCCGGTTCGGATCCCAGGTGCAGACGTGGCACCGCTCAGCAAGCCTTGCTGTGGTAGGCATCCCACATATAAAGTAGAGGAAGATGGACACGGATGTTAGCTCAGGGCCAGTCTTCCTCAGCAAAAAGAGGAGGATTAGCAGCAGATGTTAGCTCAGGGCTGATCTTCCTCAAAAAAGAAAAAAGAAAGTTAACTTCTTGGGATCTGGTTTGAGCTACGAGGTGAGTGATGCTTTTCATGGAGACAAAAAACACTGGAAGTTGGGGAGGGCAAATTGACTTCATTAATTTGTATTTCTATGAGTATATGTGAAGTTGAACACTGTTTTTCATATACTTATAACCTGGAACACAACATGCACTCAACAAGTATTTGTTAAATATTTATCACTGAATAAATTCCCCTTTGCCCATTTTTCAATTGTGTAGACCTTAAAAGCATGGGTTTTACAGCCTACAAGGAGTTGTTTAGAGGATAAAAGAGAGATAAATAGGGGCCAGCCTGGTGGCGTAGTGATCAAGTTCATGTGCTCCTCTTTAGTGGCCTGGGGTTTGCGAGTTTGGATCCTGGGCCTGGACTTACACATTGCTCATCAGGCCATGCTGTGGCAGTGTCCCAAATACAAACTAGAGGAAGACTGGCCAACAAATGTTAGCTCAGGGCCAATCTTCCTCACACACACAAAAAGATATAAATATGTAAGATGCTTTGTATGTCGTAATTGCTACATAAGTGATTCTTCTTCTTATAACTAGCAATAAACAAGATATAAATTACTACTAATAATAATTTATAGGCTCTGTCTAAATATTAAAGATAAGTGTTTGCTTGTAAATATTTTGCAAATTTTCCACTTATTTTAAATAAGCTTGATTTATTGTATCTTTTGTATTTACAAATCTCATGTAAAGTCTTTCTCTTCATATTTCTTGTCTTTTGTCATTCTAAGAGCTTTTCCTCTCTTATAATTATACAAATATTCTCTTGCGTTTTCTTCTAACAGTTTTATTTTTTACACTTATTAATATAAATAGAATTTATTTTTGTGTAGTTTTTCATATGCAGCGGAGAACTCTTTTCCCACCATAGTTAACTAGCCAATCTACCCAATTAATGTACAATACACATTATCTACTATTTTAAATGCCACTTTGTAATATATTAAGTTCCCATATATAAAACTCTCTTTTAAGTAATTAAAGAAGTCTATACAAAAATATCCACTACTACATTTTTTATGATAATAAAAAATCGCAACTTCCTTAATATTCATCAGTAAAGAACTGGTCAAATAAAGTATGCTTTCCCCATATAATGTAGCCATTAGATATAATAAGCTGGATCTACATGTACTTACATGAGAAGAAGTCCACAATATATTGTTAAGCATAAAATTAAAAACAAATGCTGAAAATCAGTATTTATAGCATTGTCTTTTTTATCAAAAATAAAATAATTATAAATAAATATATAAATATTTACATATGCATCTGAAAAAGTTTGGGAGTATACTTACCAAAATTTAAACTAGGCAAATTTATCTACAGGGGCTAGGATGAAATAGACATACAAGAATCTTTCACTTTTTACCATATATACTTCTGTATTGTTGGAATATTTTTACAGATCACATGCTGTATTTCTATAATCAAGAAATAAACAAAGGGAAAAAATAACCGTTACCTGCAATGGCTTCATAGAGACCAGCTTTATACCCTAAATACTCGTACTCTTCAAATCTCTGAGGCCCCTCACACAGGGCTCTGCACTCCATATCTTCGCTGAAATATTCTCTTAAAGCTTGTTCAAAGTACTTGATAGCTAGCTCAAAGTCATCAGCCTCATAATGTTTAACTCCTGCACTGTAACTCTCCTGCAAAGAAACAAAAAAGGTGTTTTTTTCAAAGAGCACCCCAGGGGCACCTGAACAGCAGGATTTGGCAGAAGCAGGCTCATTTAGGTAGGTGGTGTATTAGACTCTTGTGCTGTGGAAGGATAAAGAAGGATTGCCCTGGGAGAACAAGTATAACTTCCCTGGCTTCACCTGATTGTAGAGGGGAAGTACGTACTTAGCAAGCTGACTGCTGTGGCACCAATCAATTTCATTTTCTTCCTGAGTACTCAAGACTGTTTTTTCAAACCCCTCTGAATTGTAGGTAGGGCCATGCATTAAAGGGCAGAAAGACTGATGCAAGTGGACATGACATCCATTTCCCGTCCTGGCCCAATTAAAAAAAAAGGCTTCCCTCTAAAATCTTCCTTTCTTATCCTTTTCTTCAATCATCTTGGAGGGCATACATTGAGAATGGTGACATCTCCAATTGAAAAAGAAGCCCTGCCAACATATTGTGATTTCAAGTAAGACTTCATTTAAATAAATAATTATGTAGCTTCAAAAACAAGAATTTGAAAAGTATAGGTGTAGTGGAAAAACCAACCACTGGGCTGGGAGCTGGGAATCCAGTGTGACCCTGAGCAATTCACACCAGTTTCAACTCTTATGTGTAAAATTAAAGTGTAGGGGTGGGCTGAGGCATCATGGTTACAGCATGTTCTACTTTTCACCATATCATACTGATTTTCTAAGTTAATTTTCATTTTCTTTCAATTTCAATTTTTTCAACTCTGATAATTACAAGATTTTATCTAAGAACTCAGAAAGTATAAAAGTGTTATTCTATTGGAAATCGGGAATCAATTTGAGATATCCATTCATAGGAATCTGCTTTGAGTCAAATGAGACCTAGGAGTACTTAGCTCCTTCTGGTTGGGGCAAGGATTCCTAGAGCTCACCAGGTGTGGTTTGGCTTCTCTATCGACCAAATGGAGCGCTTCAACGCCGGCCATCGTTCTGTAATTCTCAATGTTCTGCTGCATTTCCATGTGCTCAGGGTTGGCCATGAAAAACGTGTGGGCTGCTTCCACCGCCTTTTCCAGCTGGTTAAGCTATGGAGAAAAAAAAGGACCAACTGAAGGCAATATTTCTAAAATAGGCTCAGTATTAGTCGAAGGTCTCAGAGATTGAAAGTGTCCCAGTTCACATGCACTCAATTCAACTTCCAAACTTGGAGGAGGAGTTTAATAGAAAGTGATCCTAAAATGATATGCAGACATTTTGGCTTTGGTGAAAACGGATAAGTGTATTTTGTTCCAAGTTTATTCTCTTCCCCCTCTTTTCTAAGCCATCTATGTTTTCTGGGAAATTGAATCTATATGCTTCTGTTTATTTTATGATTAATCAAAATAAAACCTTTCAACGCTGTGCCACCTCTAATTCACATTCTGAACATTTGTGTCTTTTATTTTCTCTTCTCTTCATTTTGTTCCTTTGGCCTTTAACCTGGACAATGAAAGGATAAACAAACCTATGATTTTCCAAAGGATGTGACTGTATGTACCTCCCACTCCAGAAAATTTTTTATTAGCCTTTAGAATGTGAAGGATACAAAGTTAAAAGAAGCAAATTATTCCAATGCATAAGAGATGCTATAGACAGCACATAAAATGGTCTACCACCCTCCCCTGATTGAGGTATTTGATTCCAAACTTACAACTTTGATTTTCATTAATACAAAAGGAAGAATTCTTAATAATCACTACATAGACAACATAAATCTGCACCTAAACCATTTTATATACTGCTCTCCATATAACACACAATGAAGCATTTTTTAATAAAATGGAATTAAATTTATCCAGTTTAAGACATTTTGCCCTAGGCTTTAGTCATGGAGAATGTTTACAGACAGATCTATTTGCCCTATCTCAGAAAAATGAATATTCACATTAGTAGTCTTTTTCATGGTAAAATTATGTTTGATCTATTTTGAAGTATGAAGAAACGAAAACTCATTGTTATTGAACAAGTAAATAAAAAACCATGGGACGGTATAAGAGATTCAACTGAGTCTGCTTTTGACAGCCTGGCTTCTCAAGTATTAGTAAGAAATAGAAAGAAGCAGTGGGTTCCCAAGTCCTCAGTCACTACCATCTTATGATAGATAAGGAATCTTAGCCCTCATCACAGAAAACATAAACTGTCCTACTTCAAGACCTGACACCCTTAACTTTGTCTAATAATAGTAAAACCTTCCCTTTTTCCCTTCAATTTGCATACTCAACTACTGGCCTTCCTTCCATCAAGTCTTGCCTGAAATCAGCTTTCTCTGTCACTTTTATCTTTCTTCTCAACTTTGTGCTCCCAGAATTATTTTGGCTGTCAAAGTCACTAATTTTGGACCTGGTTTCTTTCTTAATTTAAATTTTCTCAATTTCTCACATACCAACACACATAAATGAACTGTATAGACATCTACATAGTGACAAGTGTTTAAGTATAGAGGAAAAAGAATAGGTTCCAAATTTGGTGTGTGTCTGTACTTATTGATCAACTCAACCTCAAAGAAATCATTTAGACATATGTGCCTCAGTTCTCCTCTAGGAAAAAATGCTCACAAAATCCCCATGCCACCATCTACTACACAGAATTTTGGAAGGATTTAATCGTGTAATATATTTGAATGTGCTTCAGAAATCACTAAAACTCTAAAAAAGATAAACAATAGAACACAATTTATAAATGATCTATCAGTTTCAAGAATGTAAATATGCTCTCATTAATGATGGGTACAGTCTGTAACTCCCATGGACACATAATTTTTTTTTTTTTGAGGAAGATTAGCCCTGAGCTAACTACTGCCAATCCACCTGTTTCTGCTGAGGAAGGCTGGCCCTGAGCTAACATCCGTGCCCATCTTCCTCTATTTTATACATGGGATGCCTACCACAGCATAGCGCGCCATGCGGTGCCATGTCCACACCCGGGATGTGAAGTGGCGAACCCAGGCCTCCAAGAAGCGGAACATGTAGACTTAACCACTGCACCACCGGGCCGGCCCGACACATAATTTATGAGGACATAGTAAGGTACCTGTGGTTGGTGGAAACTGCCTCCAGTTAAGAGTCAAACTGTAAGTTATGAACAAAACAGATCAGCACTGACATACTCTGGTTCTATAGCACCTGCCAGTAAGGTTGATGGAACATAAATAAATATTTATGTTTTTTACTTTTCTGCCTTCTTGTGTCGCTCGGGCTGTCCCACTGACCTAGAGATCCTTTGTCCCTTGGATTTTTCTTATTGAAATCTGACATATCCTATAAGCCTAAACTTAAATCCTTCCTTCTCTAAGAGATCCTTTCTCAACCCTTTAGCTATGGTCAAGAACTGCAATATTACCCGATCCCTCTTCCTCTACTGGAATGTATCACACTCAGCCATATGCAGCTACCTGAGTACATTTGTTTTGCCTAGTAGAGCTCTCTGATGAGACCATATGACTTACTTATCTTTTTGTTTTCCACCTACTTTACATATAGATGATGTCTATGATATGTCTAAGAGAGAAAAAATTTTCTAACCTGTAAATGTTTGCCATACAAATCAAAAGTATATTAAACATGAGTGTGCTTCATAAGGTGTAATATACTAAAAGGATGTAAGTTGAACAACAACCGCTCTGAAGTCATCATTCACACTGAGAGCTTCCAATACTAAAATCACCGACGCATGTGGATTCAGTAACTCTTAAAAACTGTCAGCCAATGGTGATAAACCGGTTCCTTTTCTTAAATTTGACCACGTTGGTTTTTTGTTTATTTGGTGCTTTCCCCATTTATAGCCCAGTATTGAAAATAACACTACCTTCACCAATATAAATACAAACATGATTCCAAGACTTAAGGTTAAACCGTGAAACTTATTCATGAACTGGTCATGGCTTTCAAATTATTATGAACCACTTGAGGAAACTGGAATTGGTTGCCAGTGTCTATAAAACTGGCCATTATTTTAACTGAAAATTTGATATCTTTGTACTCCATTTTAGAAACGAGATACACAGATCTGAAGTGGGAGGAAAAGTCCAGCTGAACACAAGTGCTGCATACAACGCCATGTTGTTGGATGGAGATTACTACGAGGCCTTCTAAGTACTGGTTTTCAGCTAAGGAACCATCTACCGATTACTCCATTGAAGCAAACAAAAAGCAAGCTGCATTTAAAGGCTCCAAACTGGACTTCAAGACCAAAATATAACAAACCATAGGAGAGAGTAACTGTAACATGAAGGTAACTCTACCCATTAGGAAAATAAATTGCAACATAAAGAACAACTGAGGAAAGGGGAATGATTTGACAAGAAGACAGTATCAAACTTTTAAGGGATCCCCACTGCTCCCCTGAGATATGAGAAATACTGGGAAGAAATGCCTTCAAGAAGCATTGGGTCATTTCATCTCAGGCTGTGAAGAACCAAGGCCAGCATTTTCTCCTGCCAGCCCAGAAGCACGACGTATGTGGCAGTCATGCTGCATGGAAAAAGAAACGAACACTGATTAAATCAACACCCTGCTGACATTCAGAAGTTACTCTGTCCACTGGGGAGTGAATCAGACTCTTCTGGTTCACAAATGGTTCTCCATACTAGTAACAAAGGAGTATTTCAAAAGTACACATTGACTACTTAAAAACCTTCAGTAGCTAACCACTGACCACAAAAGAGGTTCCAGAAGCTACGTACCATGACATTCAAGAACCTCCAGGATTTGGCCCCTGCCCTGTCTTTCTAGCATAATTTCCTCCTATCTGCCATTATGCACACTTTTCCCAGAAAAGTTCTAGAAGAACTTTTAGAAGTTTTAAATTTACAATCCCTTTATTCAAGAGATCACACTCAGGCCCACTACTCCAGTTACACTCAAATTCTTTATTTCAATCATTCACTTATTCAGTAAATTTATTTTGCATCAAATCTGTGCCAGACACTATGATAGTTGATGAGAAGACCTACATGGCCAAAACAAAGATCCTGCTTTCTAGATGCTTACAGTCTTAAAGAAGGGGACGAGTCTCAAGTAAATAAGTCATTTATGAAAATAATTTCAGATTGTGCTAAGTGCTATGAAGAGATACATGAACAAACAATACTGTGGGAGCTCTCTGAGCTTGAAGTGGAAGAGGGATTCCTTTGGATAAATTAGTCAAGGAAAGTCTCTCTGCAATGGGATTTTTGAGCTGAGTCCTAAATGTTGAGAAGCCAGTGGTGAGCAGAACAGGAGGAAGAGCATTCTAGGAAAAAGAAAGCCAAGTGAAAGGGCCCTGAAGTGGAAGCGTCTTGACCTGTTTTAAAAGCAGAGTAGAGATGAAGGAAAGAGAGAATGGAGAAGTTGGAGAAGGACAGATCACTTGTAGGCTACAGTAAGAAGTTTGAATATTATTCTAAGTGCCAGAGGAAACCATTAAAGAATTTTAAACAGTATCTGATACACATTGTCAAATGATAACTCAGACTGCTATGCGGAGAATAGACCTTTGGTAGCAGGCAGGAGAACACTGCAGTAATTCAGGTCAGAGGTTATGCTTTTACTTTGCAAAATAAAAATAGGACAGCATAGCTCAGCCCCCCTCTCTTTTCCCCTCTCCCTACCATTCTTTTCTCTTCCTCTCCATTTTGCCCATCTTTGCTGAAGCATGGTTCTCAACTCAGAAGGTGGACACATAGCATGAAAGGAATCAATTCTAAAATTTCCAAACATGTTTTAGGGAAAATACACAAATTCTCTCTCTTCTGAATTAAGGGAAATATGAAGCTCAAATATTTTAAATATGAAATTTAGAACAGTTTGTAAGACACATGCAATAAAGAAAGGGACTAATTCTAAAGCACATTAAACCACGTAAAGAACACTGTGTACTTCTGAAATAGAATATTTAGGATTACTTTCGATCTTCTGAAGCCTTTTTATACCATCAGGGTAAAACATCACACCCAAAATAAGTAATTTCCATTCTTCTACTCAAACATCACATTTTCAATAAACAAGGGAATTCCTTCTCTACTTTCACCACCCTAACTTTGGGAATTCATCCAAAATCATGCATTACA